ACTCAACAGAAACAGAATAGAGAACTAAAACCAGTATAGTGTTCTGAACATGGTCACACACACGGTTATTCAAAATCTTCAGATACAGTATGTTCTTTAGGATGCTTGTGATAGAATTCAGTCCTAAAAAAAAGAACTGGTTGTTTATACCACCTGAATTCATTTGCGTCTGCTGTTCGTCTCATACAGGAGGTGATATGTCAGAAGAATATGGTAAGTGTCTTAATCTTTACTTCCTCTCTGCCGCATGTTCATTTGCTGTCATTTTCAAACAGAAAGAAGAAAGTCTTTGTTTGCCTCATTTCGTAAGTTTTGATTGCAAACCTGAAAACGTGGAAAAAGAAAACTTCATTGTTATGTTTGGTTATATAATGTTATAGGAGATAAGCAATCTGACAGGCATGATTGGGGTTTGAGACTTTTGCAAAAAAGCTTTGTTGTAGGATTTTATAATTAGGTACAAAAATAGTTTTAGCCAACAAAATAATTAGGGGCAGGATAATTGGTAGAAGTTTATGAGTTAACTTCAGGAGAGTTGTGAGATATGAAATACAATGATATACCGTAGGAGGCCAAGAAAACATAGATTTTTTTTCCCTCCTGCTGTCCACAACCCAGAAAATACTTTTGACCCATTTTTGGGGCATGAAATAGCTGCTTACTGTTGATTTATTCATCAGTGTTCATTTTCACTGTGGATATTTGCTCTTCTTCCAGACATGTGCCGCTAACTACACGTTCATCCCATACATGGTGACGCCTCAGAATAAGGTGTATTGCTGTGAGAGCAGTCTGATGAAGGGTTTGAGTGAACTGATGCAGCCCAGCTTTGAGGCCCTGCTGGGGCCCATCTGTATGCCACTGCTGGACAGACTCACTCAACTGCTCACCAGCTGCAAGACCAACACCTGGTGGGAACTCACTACCTCCTTTTTCTCCTCGCTTCTCATTGTCATCTCGCAGCTAATTGAAAGTAATTTATAGCAGTAATACAACAGCCATGAACAGATTGATAGGTTTAAAATTTTGGTCATATCGCCCACCCTTAAGTATTATTTGTATATTGTTTTTCACATTGTTTCAGTTCCAGTTCATATAAATATGTGACCCTGGAGCACAAAAGCAGTGT